ACTAAGGTGTGCCTGATCCAAGCCATGGGATTTTCAATAACCTCATATGCATGTGAAAATTGAACAGTGAATAAAGGAAGACTGTAGAAGAATTGATGCATTTAAGTTATGGTGTTGGGGAGAATATTGGAAGTACCTTGGACTGCCAAAAGAACAAACAGATTTGTGTTGGATGAAGTACAGCTAGAGTGCTCCTTAGAAGCCAAGATGGCCAGACTTCATCTCTCATATTTCGGACATATTGTCACTGGAGAAGGATGTTATGTTTGGTAAGGTACAGGGTCAGAGAAAAAGAGGAAGACCCCAAGTGAGATGGATTGGCAAAGTGACAGCAACATCAATGGGCTCAAGCGTAACAACAATTGTGAGGTTGACCCAGGACCGGACAGTGTTTCGTTCTGTTGTACGTAGGGTCTCTGTGATTGCTGTGAGTTGGAACCAACATGATGGCACTTCACACTAACTTGAGTCAGGAATGCTGGTGGTGCTGTAGGGTAAACAAAGGGACTACCAACCAAAAGGTGGACAATTCAGACCACAAGCCGCTCCGTGGGAGAAAGATGAGACTTTCTGCTGCCTTAAAAATCTATAGCCTCAGAAACCTTATGAAGGGCCACTCTGAGTCAGAACGAACTCCATGGCCCTTAACAATACCTTCACTATTAACCAACCTCACTTGGAATCAACTCAGTGGGTCTTTTGGGTTGCTAACCTAAAGGGTGGCAGGTTCAAACTTACAGTCTGCAGAAGAAAGACCAACAATCTGCTTCTGTAAAGATTAAAACCAAGAAAACTCTTTGGGATTTTTAATGCAGTTTTGCTATATAACAAATGGGACCATCGTGAGTAGAAAATGATGCAACAGTGGCAGATTATAATGAATTAAAGAATTTAAAGGAAGAGGAAATACAATATATTGCTCATTTGCAAAAGATAAAAGTTTCATTAAAAGTTCTCTGGTCAGTCTTTTCCGTTTACTATCTGTTTGAATGCAGAAATGAAAATCTTTGATTGTCACATTTGTCTTTCCCCTAAGATTGGTAAATTAACAGACATCTTCTTATCCACGTTTATATTTCAGGGAAACCCATGGAGGAATCATTAGCAGTTTTCATGTATCTTATTTTATCTAGAATCTGGATGTTAATCTACATGAAAATAAAACCTTGTTTATATTATGCACTTCAATAGGTTTCATTTTTGATTCCTGAATGTGGAATACTCTCCAAGGAACTGAAAAGCTTGGTCATGGAAACTGGACCCTATTACTCTGTGAAGAATTTACCACTTCATGAATTCATTTCACAGGAGTTTATCAACACCTTTGTAAAGAAAGGTAAGAAAAAAACAAGAATGTAGGATGGGAAGCTATTGGTAGATCACACCACAGTGATAGGCATCCTTCTCTTGGTTTAATTAGGGCCTGTGCTGAGGGTCAGTATGGCCAGATGCATTCAGCACTCTCCCCCAACCTTTTCATCCCACTCTTTGCCTCAAGACACTGTTCCTGATTACACTTACTCACAGTGTCAGATGAGGATGTAACATGAAGGTATTAATCATAATAATGAAAGAAGGATTCACGGAGAGCAAAGTCTGGTATCTGTGTGTTCAGACCGCTTTCTGGTGGGTATGTTGCTGCAAAAAGTGTCTTGAACTACACAGCTGTAGCTCACAGAGCCAAGTATTCATCATGTCTTGATCACTTCGCTTTTGTGGTTCTAACTGTCCTCACTGTTAGGGTCCAGTCACTTGACTTCTGCAGGTCTAGCAAGACCCACTTGTATATGGTACAAACAGCACACACAGACAACAAGCAGCAAGTAGCAAGCAAGGTTTATTAAACTATGAAAGTACACTTCTCAGAAGAGGAGGAGCGGGTGTGTCTCTCATGAGTGAGAGAGAGCCCTGGCTTTCTGTTCTTTCTCCTTCTTTGTAGGGTTTTTGGCTACTCTCCCTCAGGTTTAATTCTGATTGGTGGCAGGGTCTTGGTCTGACATAGTCTTCATTTGCACGTGTCTTGGTGGTCTAGCACTACTCAATTTCTCAAAAGCTGTGCTGGATTCAGTTTCCTGGAATTGTTGATTCAAGTGCCAGGTGTTGGGGTGCAGTTAGGCCCGCAGCTAGGTTCCTACTCTGTCCCTGACACTCACCCCTTTCTTAGTTGTATGCTGGGCTGATTGGCTTCTTGTAGTTGTTTCTTATGAACCCTGTAAAACTGTATTTCACAGTTCCTGGGTGGTACAAATATCTGCTAACCAGAAGGTTGGAGGTTTGAGTCCAACTAGAGGAGTCCTGGTGTGGCGCTGTGGGTTAATGCGCCAGACTGCAAAGCCATTTAAACTGCAAGGTCAGCAGTGCAAGCTCACCAGCTGCTCCTTGGAAACCCTATACAGGGTCACTGTGGGTCGGACCCAACTCGACGACACTTAACAACGACAAAAAGAGGTACATTGGTAGAAGGGCCTGGCAGTTTACTTCTGAAAAATAAACCATTGAAAATCATTTGGAGCAAAGTCCTACTCTGACACACATGGAGTTACCAGGAGTAACAATTGGTGGTGATGTTTTTTAAAGAGTGTCCATCCACCCTCACTACCTAAGCCGCCCAGTTGAGCTCCCTCAGTAGTAGCTCTTACTTCCCTTCTTGTCAGCCCCAAGTGATGTTTGTTGCAGTTACTAGAAATTCTTTTTACTTCTTTGATAAGGTTTTTTATGATGTTCCATTTATTTATTTAGTCTTTGGCTGTTTGTTTTTGTTAATGTCTTAGGTAAGCTGTTGTGAAAAGCTAGGTTTGGCAGTCTTGCACCTGCATTTTCTTCTGATAACTTTATTCTTTTAATGTTCACCTATGCATCATTGATCTGGTTTGAATTTTGTCTGCTTGTGTGGTGTAAAGTGTGGATCCTGATTCATTTTCTGCATATACAAATCTGGTTGTCCCAGCACCATTTATCAAACGGACTCGTTTTTCCCCCATGGACTTAGCACCCTTGTCAAAATTCAGATGACTGTAGGTGTGTTGGTTTCTTTCTGGACTCTCAGTTTTGTTCTGTTGATTTATATGTGTACCAGGCTGTTTAAATCACTGTAACTGTATAATATGTTTTGAAATCAGAAAGTGTGTCTTCTACTTTGTTACTCTCCATAAAAGTTATGGTAGCTATTCAGAACCTCTTCCATTCCATGTAAAGTTGAGCATTGTTTGTTTGTTTTCCATTGCCGTAAAGAAGGCTGTTGACATTTTGATTGGAATTGCATTGAGTTTATAAATCACTTTGGGTAGTACTGACATTTTGACAATATTTAGTCTACTAATCCATGAATGTGAAACAACTTTACATTTATTTAAGTCATCTTTAATCTCTTTCATCAGTGTTTTGTAATTTTCACTGTGTAAGTCTCTCACATCCCTGGCTCACTTTGTTCCTAGGTATTAGATATTTTATTTTTCTAAATGCTATTGTAAATGGAATTGCTTCCCTAATTTCCCTCTTAAATTTTTAACTGCTGTCGTATATAAATCCAGCTGATTTATTTGTTGATCTTGTAGTCTGCAACTTTGCTAAATCCCTCTAATAGCGCTATAAGCTTTCTTACGGATACTTTGTGATTTTCACTATAGTATCCATGAATACAGATTATTTTACTTCTTATATGATTTGCTTGCCTTTTATTTTATTGAGTCCTGGAAGGGGATTTATCCTGAAGGGACTTGAGTGCTTGCCTTGATGGCTCTCCAGCAAACAACTTGCTTGCTCTTGTAGTAGACAAGCAGACTACCATTTTTGTTTTGGATTTTTCCTGCTGATCTTTCATTCAAGAAGTATCTTCTGTTCCTTTAGCTGTTCTAGGCTGATTTGCTTGTCCTTTCAAGTGGAAATGTCCCACCTCAGAAGGTTCTGGATAGGGCTCAGGATTCCACCTAAGCCTTTACACTGCAAAGGCTCCGCAGGAAGCCTATTTACTGGACAAGTTATAGAACCCCATCTAGGTATTCCAATCAGTTGTAGGCTGAAGACAGGCTTACAAGCTTTCTGTAATCATGTTTCCCAATATTCCTTTCTATCCCACTCCTCTGTTTTACATTGGCTCCTATTCCTTCTCTGCTTTAATTACAATAAACATGTTCCAGATCTGTTTTCACTTTTCACTGTCTTCTAAACACCAGAGAGCATGTTGTGATCGGTTGTCCACTAGGGTACACAGCCTTCTTTCTCTCTGGCTATTACTCCCTCCTGTGTTCTGTTTCTGCAACCATATTTTAAGTTGAAAAATTCACACCCAGTGAATCCATATAGGACTGGGTAGTGCCCTCTGGCTTTGCCCAAGTCTTCCTTCCCTGCTCTCTGGTGGCCGTTTCTATCTAAACTGGTATTCAGGGGAAGCACAGGCAGACTTTACTCCATGTCAGCAGGAGGATAAGCCGGCACTCCCCAGAAAGACCTCCGAGAGATCTGTCTTGTTGATTTCAGAGCCCAGCAATTTTGTGGTGCTTGGGGAAGCAGTCTCCAATTAGGTGACCTGCCTCCTGGATGTGCTGTAAGGGACCCTTCTGTTGAAGTTGCCTCTGTCCGGCATTTAGCACTTGCCAGGTGGGAAAGGGGCTGGCACACTTCAAATAGACCCCAGGGATGTCTGTCTTGTTACACCCACCTAGGGTCGGAACCGACTCAACGGCACTTAACAACAACAACAACATAGGATGTGGTATGTGCATGCAGTTTCCCTGAACATGCATTCTTCTTAGCATACAGCCCCTTCATTCTGCAATTCTGTGTGCAAACTGGTGTGGAGTACAGACAGACCCATCCTTAGTCCCAGAGAAATCTGTTATGTTTGGTTTTGGAGGCTTGATCTATGGAGTGTGCAGCTGGTAGATGCTGGCTATGGGAGCAAATGCCACTTCAGTAGGCCTTCTAGCTATTCATAGTGGCCTGGCAGCCAGTTGTTACTAGGTGGGTAGGTGCTGGCCTGTGAAGAGAAATCTCCCAGGGAGGTCTGCTTTGTTAATTTTAGAGCAGAATCCTGGGGTATTGTCACTTTGCACAGGCGGGGGTGTGGTGTTTAGGGCAACAGACTATTTGGATGAAATTGCTACCCAAGTTCACAGCAGCCAGCAGCGAACATGGCTTGGAGGAAGGGCAGGGAGGGTAGAAGAAGCACTGTTCCTACCATATTCGACTCATTGTTGATTCATTGATTCTTGCCAGTCTGAAGTTCTCCACTGCTATCCTTTACTCCCCACTTCACAGTCCTTTAAGACCACGCCTCATGTCCATGCTGTGTGAAGAAGGGTGGGAACGTGAACTGTTTATACTTCCGTCTTCCCAGAACCAACTCTGGAGTGACTTTCTTAACTTCACACAACTTCTTGTAGATGTTGAACTCTTCCTCTAAGGGGGGTGCACTACTTCCCTAGTGTTCTGCTTGTCACCTCTACCAGCATCCTCAAGTACATATATTCCATGTTCTGAGTTCATTTTCTACTTGGTGATATAATAGGAAACCAGCAGAAATAGACAAACCCATGGTGGGAGGTGACTGAACTCGCACTTGGCTCTCCTTGTGCTTTGACTTATCCCAGGCTGGTGTTAGATTTAATGAGTGAGCCAGAGCAGTGATAGATACCTGGGAGACTTACACTCATGTGAAAATAATCCACAGATGTTTTGTAGGTGTGATTTATTCTTTATTACAGTTGTAGGTTATAACTTCTCCTATGGACTTTCTCTTGCAGGTGCATGCTATGCGTTAACGTACAATACAAACATTGACGAAGATAATACTGTTGCCCTACTACCAAATGGTAACATCAGTCACTTTTTTTAATTATGAAAGAAATACGTATTATTACAAAAAAACTAAACATTTAGATTCATATAAAATGAAAGTTCTGCTTTCATCATCTTTCCTCTAAATCTACTCCCCATCTTAGAAGTATTGTTAACAGATTGATGTTTTTTCTTCTAGACATTTTCTGTGTTCATAAATACCAATTAAGGATTTTTAACATAAATAATATTTTGTTACATTATTTTACAATTTGCTTTTTTCCCAAGCTCTGTGTCATAGACATCTTTCTGAATACGGTTCTAACTTACTACTTTTAGTGGCTTGAAGGTATTCCAAAGAATGAGTATACAACAATATGTTTAACTGTTCTTTCTGTCTAATTTCGCTATTGTAAAATGATGCCACGTGTTACCTTCATACCTAACTGTTCGGTTGCCTTGCTTGCTTTTTATCAGAGGATATGTCATATATTTAACATCTCTCTTATGGAAACAATATGATTTATAGGGAAATTAATTTTATCACTGGATAAAGACACTTATGAAGAAACTGGACTTCAAGGTCGTCCATCTCAGTATTCTGGCAGAAAAGTCATGAAATTTAGTAAGTTATTAGGCTTATTCCACTAGATTCTAAAAAGTCAATAATCTACCTATAGAAATTTAAATTTAAAAGTTAGATTTGCCTGTTCTCTGTTTATTCAGAAAAGGTTTAGCTTTGTCTTGTCTTTTTAAAACTTCTGACTTTGGCGGTTATTACATGACTCAAGGGCCTTCAGAGAAGATAAGATGCTGTGTTTATATTTCTTCTGCTATAGGCTGCGTCTTATAAAGATGACAGAATTGGGCATGGCGCACTACATACATACACACACATATATATATATATGTTTTGTATAAAAAATTTGAAGTAATAAACCCATGATCAGAGACGATAGCATGTTCTTTTTTTTTTTTATCCCCTCCTCAAGTTATCATGATAACAAGTATAAATTGAATGGAGGAGCGGGTGATACAGTTTTCTCCCTGAAAAATCCCCATAAGTGAAAAACTTTGATTCCGGTGACAGTGTCTGTTTTGTTAATGCGCCAGACTGCAAAGCCATTTGAACTGCAAGGTCACCAGCTGCTCCTCGGAAACTGTATACAGGGTTGCTGTGGGTTGGAATCGACTCAATGATGCTCAACAACAACAACAACAAATTAACTGAGGCGACCACATCCATAGATAGATTGAGTTGGCCTCCTGGGGATCTCTGCCTTTACCTGAGTCTTCAACCTTAGAAAAATGATGTTATTAGCGTCCAGTGTTAGAAATGCCTCTTAAAAGTGGAGTTTAATACCTTTTTCACAGTGGAAACTGTGTTTATATGAGAATAATATTTGTTCTTCTTTGTGTTGTTTAAGTTGTTTCCATTAATTTGATGGATTTATCCTTAAATCCGGATTCCAAGAACTATAAAAGAATATCTTGGTCCTTCAAAGAAAAGAAGCCCTTGAAATTTGATTTTCTTTTGGCTTGGCATCCTACAGGTATGAAGACTTAATTATGTGATGGCATAATGATTTTGAAATTAATTGCTAATTAAGGGGGGGGAGTAAAGTGGGAGTCCCCGTGTGACACTCACTATAGGATAAGCACTGGACCACAAGGTCATTTGAACTGAATGGTCAGCGGTTCAAATTCACCACATGCTCCTCAGAAACCCTATAAGGGGTCACTCTGGGTTGGAACTGATTTGACAGCACTTAACAACAACCAGAACACCGGTGGAGGATTGGGATCTTGGTGACACGTTTGAAATGCTTGCTGGTGCAAACAGTTAAGTACTGGGCTGCTAACTGAAAAGTTAATGATTGGCGTCCACTCAGAAACACCTCAGAGGAAAGGCCTGGCAAACTACTTCAAGTCATCAGCCATTGAAAACCCTATAGAGTTCTATTTTGACACGCATGGGGTCACTATGAGTTGGAATTGACTCTCTGGCAACAGATATAGTTAAGGGATATTGTATATGTATAAACATTATTAAAGAAGTGACTGGCTTTCTCTAGAATCCCTTAGGACCATAGTTCGGGGTAATTGAGACATGCAAGCCAGATGCATGAGTCTCCTTGGGCTCTGTGTGTAGATCTGAAGCTCCATCTAGGGGCCTTAGAGCAGCTAAGTTCTCTTTCTCCCTTTCTTAGCACCTTACTTCAAACAGCCTAGGCTATAATGTTTTCAAATAACATTAATTATACACACAAACTACTTACTTCATTATTATAGGGTATGAACTTAAATGTCATAGTAAGTTTGTAGTTTTTAATTGAGTAGAACACTAAATTTAGTTCAAAGTATGATGTTCTCCAAAAAGTTAATCTGCTGACAACTTACTGCTTATACCTTGCTCCTTTTACGAGTATATTTTTGTTCCATGACAAGATTGTGATGAATCAAATCATGAAGAATTCTGATAGTACAGTGCTGTCTTTTAGACAGTGGGAAGCACATAGGTTTGTTTGGGAATGTGCCCAGCTCTCCTGCACTTAAGTGACATTTCTGGTTCCTGGGTTCTCTGTTTGTCTCAAGTCCTAGGTCTATAACACTGTGTTTTCACCTATGTCCAATAGAGCTAAAAGTAGGCAGAATGTCTTTGTGTATTGACTAAGGACTAGCATCTCATGGAGTCTTCTATGAGAGTCATCCATGTGCTTATGGACGACTTTCTGCTCCTCAGAATCCTAGTTATTTTAAGGACTTGTCAAGAACTGTGAGAGGTTTGAGATTTTACCACATTTGCAAGCTAACATGTTAGCCTGCCACAGTTTGATGTTATTGTCATTGTTCAGTGTCAGTGCTGTCAAGTCAGTTCCAACTCATAGTGACCCTGTCTGGATTTCTGAGGAGCGATTTGTTAGCTTGAACCGCCAACCTTGTGGTTCAAACCGACTTTGCAGTCCAGCGCATTAACCCACAGCGCCACACCAGGACTCCACCACAATTTTATGAATGCTAGAAAAAGACAAGAAACTCCTTACTAGAGAAGAAGTGCTCTACTATTCACAGCAATAACAGTGGTTAGAGTGTCTGTGTTTTCTTGCACTATTTATGTGAGTCCCTTTCCTACAAAGCAGTATGAAGAGGTCTAGGTGACTATTGCTCGTACAGCAGGCAGTGTTATGGTAGAGGAGCTTGGACCGTGAGGAACTCAAACCTTTCATAGTAGGCAGTAAGCTTACCCAACCTTTGTTCCAGAGAAACACACAATGTGTGTGTGACATTGTTATACTGGACAAAATAATCTTTCCCTTGGTTCTTAAGGGAACCACTGTTTTTGTTTTCAAGGATGTTGGTTTTGTAGACATCCTTAAAATGACAGACATTTGAACATTACTGGGATTTTAAGAAGACAATCTAGGATGCGATTATATCAGCATCCATTTCCTCCTCTGTTTTCTTCTTAGAGATTATACACATATGCTTTCTCTGTTTTTGTTGTTATTAAGTACCTTGGAGTTGGTTCCGACTCACAGCGACCCTGTATAGGGTTTCCAAGGCTGTAAATCTTCACAGGAGCGGAAAGCCTCATCTTTCTCCCTTGGAACAACTGGTAGTTTCGAAATACTGACTTTGTGGTTCGCAGCCCGATTCGTAATCATTACGCTACCAAAGCTCCTGTAGAGGTCACCAATTTTACTCATATAGAAGGAAATGTTAAGTACACTGGAGTCGGATCCTACTCATAGCGACTCTGTACAGGGTCTCCAAGGAGAGCGTGGTTGGTTTGAACTGCTGACCTTGTGGTTAGCAGTCTAGTACTTAGCCTACAGCACCACACCAGGATTCCATAGAAAGAATGGTTTTGTTTTATTTATTAAGTTGAATTTTTTTTGCTAGTACAAATAATGAAACCAATATGCGTTGAGTCTGAAAGTGTGAGACTTTTCCAGGAAAAGTCTGAAAGAAGATGAATGTTTGCAGAACTTTGGCACCGGATACAAAAAGCAGCTTAAATGATTTTCACTTGAATACAGCTTTGCACAACTTCCTTCCATTTTACTTAATACTTCCCAGAAACCTCAAATGGGAATAGGGTCATTTCAGGGATTTACTGAACTTCTTTAAATTATTTAAATGACCATAAATGGTGTGTTTTAAGGTGCAGAAGAACCAACAATGATGTCATACTTTTCCAGTTACCAAATTCAGGAGCACCAGCCAAAAATAGCCCTGAGTGTGCTGACAGACCTGCAGTGTCCCGCGCTGCAGAGCCACGTGCTCCAGGGGGAGCCCGAGGTGGCCTGCAGCGCCCAGGAGCTATTGGACTGGCTGGGAGCCGTCTTCAGTCACGTCAGCCTGTGCGTATCTGATCTCACCAGGGCCTTCTGTGTGGCTCTTTTTTTTTAATTTTAATTTGAGTTGAATGTGATTATGTAGTAGATAAAAGTGTATTTTCTTTCTTTTTTTTTTTTGTGACAGAAATAATGAGCCCAATAATTTCATATCAACCTATTGCTGTCCTCAGCCAAGTGCAATTGTGGCAAAAGCTTATTTATGCACGATCACTGGTTTCCTGCTTCCAGAGAAGATTGGTCTCTTATTGGAACAGCTACGGTAAGACCTGTGCCTCGCCTATTGAGCTTGTCTTGTGCCCACATGGCACCTTGGTGACATTGCTACACGTAGGGTCTCCTCACAGACATTTTTCCTTGTGTGCGCTTAAAATGTAGGAGCGTCATCATGTTAAGTGGCATAATTACCCTTGCTGATAGAGGAAAATCCAATTGCCAAGTTATGAAAAGGAAAAAAAGCAGAACTTAAAATATGCTTCGTAAAAGCAAACCGCTCATTTTCCTTGATCTGCTTCCCCGTCCCGCTTTGGAGCAGTCATCATAGCATCTAAGAAAACAGCAGGGCGCTGTGAAACAAATTATGTTTTAAATATTGGAGCTCTGCAAAATACTTAACAAAGGAGTGGTTAAAAAAGAGTTTGGACACCTGAGTTTAAATCATATCTCAATATTTGCTAACCCTGATAGTCTATAAATCATTGGTCATTATAATTATCATTATTCAGTACCAGGTACTGCATAAAGTAGTATTTAATAGCTTTTGGGTTTTGTGGCGCTATAGGATAAACACTGGACCGCAACGTCAGCAGTTCAAACTCACCAGCCTCTCCTCAGAAACCCTACACAGTAGAAACGGACTTGATGGCACTCAACAATAGCAATACAAATAAAATATGTACAATTGTGTCTGTTGTTGGCAATTTAAATCCCTTATTGAAAAGGCTATAAATTGAGTATAATCCTATTTAGCAAGCATGTCTCAATTTTCATTTTTAAAATGTCTAAGTTAGTAAGTTCTGAAGCGTTTCTGTTTTAAATCCAACATCCTTTTGCACATTTATTAGCTGTGTCTAAGATTTATATTTTGAGGGTTTTCCTTTTTCAAAAAATTATGGTAATATTCATGTACAAAAAAATGACACTTAACCATTTTCAAGTGTACAATTCAGTGGCTTTTAGTGCATTTATAGTGCTGTACAAACATCACTAGTACAGTAAGCACTGCACTGTCAACCACAAGGTTGGTGGTTCGAGCCTGCTAGCTATTCCACAGGAGAAAGATAAGGATTTCTGCTTCCACAATGAGTTAAAGCCTCGGAAACCTTGCCCAGCATTGCTGAGTCGGAACCAGCTTGACAGCACTAAACAACAACAATCTAGTTGCATAACAGAAGCTCCGTATCCATTAAGCCATCCCTCTCTATTACCTCCTTTCTCTCTCCCAGCAACCACTAATCTATGGGTTTGACTATTCTGGATGTCTCATGTAAATAGAATCATACGACATGTGACCTTTTGTGTCACGTCTTTCACTTACCACAGTGTCTTCAGGATTCATCCATGTTGCATCATGTAGCGTACTTCATTCCTTTTTATGGCCAGATAAGGAGCTCTGGTAGCGTAGTGGTTATGAATCGGGCTGCTAATCTCACGGTCAGCAGTTCGAAACTACCAGCTTTTCCGCGG